GACTAATCGATTGACTGATCGATTGACTGACTGATTGACTGACCGATTGACTGACTGATTGACTGACCGAGTGACAGACCGATTGACTGCCTCATTCCACCAAAAATTGCCATTACCAAACAATTACCAAAAATTGCGATGCTATCATCGCGAGCTCGCGCTGTGATTGTGGATAATGATTCAGTGCTGTTCAGTTCATTAAGCGGTAAATACGCGGCTGAAGTAACACGTCCAGTAAATTATTATTATATATTTGTTAACAGAAAATGAATCCGATGAAACCATAATTTTTTAAATCTCCAATCGTATGTACCCCACAAACTCGGCATTGATATTATGATAATAGCCATCGCGAGTTCGCGTGAGAAATCGTGTTTCCGTTAAACAGTATATTCTCGCCTCGCCCATCCTCGTTAATCCAGACCATTTCCACCCTCCGGTGGAAATGGTCTGGATCCGGCATCTCCATGCGCGAGGAGAGAATTGAAATTTTGCCATACAAATTTCAATCCTCATCTCGACTCATCTCTCCTCGCCTCGCCGGTGGAAAACCACCTTAAGTGTCATTTTATGGACGGCCAGTTTTATTACCTTCTTATATCCAAGTGGGAGTCCATGTGTCGCGCTAGCGCAGCTCGCGTGACCCTCATAGCGTCACAAACTGCGCATTTGTATCCAGTACCTGTATAAATTTCATAATTGAAGCATTGTGTGTAACAAGGGCGTATCACGTAAAAGTGTGATTCGAGAAAATTGAAAATAAAGTTTTAATGTCTCATATCTTTATAATATGCCTCTTATATAATTTATTATTTATTTGTCCTACGATTTAGCTAAAACATTCTGGTATTTTTATTATGGTACACACGCCAGCACATCAAGCTACAAATTGACGTATCATGTTCCGTTGCACTGGAGGCGATTTTCGAACAAACATGTGTAGTCTGATGTGCTGTTGTCCGTATTATAACAATTAGAAACATTTGAAAATATTTTTTTTCCTTGTGTTATGTCCCCGTGTTGCACCAAAACCGGTATATTAATGGGGCGTTAGTTGTATTATTGGTTTTTAAAGAATAAAATTGTGAATCAGTCTTATTTAAAATTTATACTTTGAAAAAAATTTAAACGTAAATTTTAATCATTCATTAAATTCGCTGGATTTAAATGAATCGACAATATCATATATTCATCAGGTTTCATTAACCTCCTAGATGCTCCATGTTGAGGATGAAGTAGCTCGTTTTAGACATTTTTTACATTAAAAATAAGTTTTTACAAACTGCAGGTGGTAACGTGTCTGAAATTCAAACGTACATTTATAATCTATGCCTCAAGTGCGGAGCGCCACCTTATAAATAAATGAAACTTACGCCGTCTAGAAGGGAGATCGAAATGTTTTTGTCACAAGATACTAGATAGCGTTTTACATGTTTTGATGCAACATCATCAAAACGGGCATTTGGTGCCGAAACGCCCTTGTTCAGTTCAGTAAATATTACGTAGTGAATATACCTAATTATTAAATAAATAATTATGTACTTGGACACGCAATTTCAAATACCTTGGTTACCTTAATTAAAAGTAACTGTCCAAAATATAAAACTTTAAGTGTTTTTAATGATTTTTTAAAATTAATCTTCAATATTATTCCACCTAGAGTCGTATTCCAGAACTCTACTCAATGCTCAAGTCAGGATCTGAGTATGATTTCAAGTACTGGAAATACGACCCTAATGGCAGGGCCTTGATTATGATTTCGAGTGCTTTAAACCATACTCCTATCCTGACTTGAGCATTAAGTAGAGTTCTAGAATACGACTCTTAGTGAATTAATGAAAAATACAATATAATATCGATATACACACCTAATAAACATGTGTAATTATTAGGATTCTATTAACAGAATTATAGATAACAGATTCGCGTTAGAATTTTCGCTATGTTGCCGCTTTGACTACGTAACGTAATAGTACGGGAAATGGATGGGTAGGTAACCCTGCCACTTCACGCACACATTTGCGCGTGTGCTGATAGCGCCTTGCTGTATGTAGTAGTAGTAGGTAAATAACTTTCGACTATTGTAAAGAGTGTCCGGGGTGTGGTAAAACAACGTTACATTCACTTTTGCCATTGTTCTTTAGTACCTTTGTTAAGGCCTTACCAATATTATGGCGTTGGAATAAATGTGAACGGAGAGACGTTTTCTTCAACTTGATGCCGCAGTTCGGGCAAGGGTACATGCGGATTTCATGTTGATTTTGTATATGACGATTCCTATCTCCTGTCAAATACAAATTTTATTTATACAAATTGTTAGCAAAGAATATCACTAATTTCAGGTATTTAGGAACGGTTGCACGCTCCATGGTCACGGGTTGACTGAGCCAACTCACTGACTCAGTCAACCCGTGACCATGCAACCGTCCGTGGAGCGTGCAACCGTTCCGAAATATCGGGAAAATAAAAAGTTGTAACACTATTGTAATATCAGTGCGATATATTAAATTATCATAAATGCCAACCCTGGTAGGGAGCGGTTATTGAAATGTACTCACCTGACCAAGTAAAAACTCTGTCGCAATAAGGGCACGGTAGAGGCTCGTTTGGAGGAAGCCGACGTGAACGCGCTGTGTGCTTGAAGTGCTTGTGGCTTTGTACAGAGTTCAAAGTGCGAAATTGCTAAAAGTAATAATTAGGGTTACCTTTGAACCTTACAGGTAGACATAATTAAAAGAAAAAAGGCACTTATGTCGGTTTTCTCGTGCTTTATTGAATAATATTTGTTTTGACGGAAAAGTTGAGGAGTAAGGCCTAGTTCCCACTAATTTGCCGAATTTGCCGGGTCGGTAAAACTGCCCGGAAAGGCTAGTGGCTATACAATTCACATCACACCGGAGCGTTTGTCACTGCGGACCGCCGGCTGAACGTTCGGACCGGAGTAATGTGAATGACGACGAAAGTCTTCCCAATAAATCATCAAAAGAGGATGCTGTCATTCGAAAGTAATTGAAGAACTTGTCACTTCTCAGTTGGCCCATTAAAAATCTTGCCCGTAAAATAGGATGTACCCAATGTTTTCTTTTTACTCTATTAAGCCTCCTAAGATACCACCACAACACCACAATTTCGTCGTCTATCGTGCGCAGTGGTCTGAATTCGACTGAGGTGAGGACTTTAGTCTCCGGTTTTCTTGTGAGATCCGGCTTAACGTGAACACCTAGTACGAGTGCCGGTTTCCCGGCAAATTCATAGTGGAAACTAGGCCTAATAGGTTAGCGTGGTATGGACATGTCATGCGGAGTGCGGACGGAAGAATGTCATGTGATGAGAGGAGTGTTAGGTCTGAATGTGATGGGATATAAGGGGAAAGGAAGGCCAAAGAAAAGATGGATGGATTGTGTGAAAGGTGACATGGATAAGAAAGGTGTGAGTATGGCAATTACAGCTGATAGGGGAGAGTGGAAGAAAAATACATGTTGTGCGTGGAATAAGTGAAAGTCAAAAATAATTCTATACCGTAGGTAAAATTTTTACATTTGAAAACGTCATTTTTTAAGCTACTACTCGTTCACTGTGCCGACTTCCATGAGAAGAACGAGTAAGAAACTCTAGGGATTGTTCTTTTCAAATAAACTCAAATGCTGTAGAATAATACATTTTGTATCATATTTGTGTGGAATCTAGACTCACGTTGTCTTTCTATACATTCTTATCTAACACGTAGAATACAATTGTGTAACATGACTTTTCAATTTAAAGTACTTTTAACATTGACTTACAATTATATGGACGTCGGGTCCGCGCTAAAAAGTGTCCGAACTTATAGGGTGTTAAAATCGTATACAGAGCGTCATTCACGCTTTAGTCTTCGTTTGTTCGACTGACAGCGAAGCAAGCAAAATTGGACAGTACTGCGATGACATTACAATTTAAATTCAACGTATTAGCCTTTTCATATTCCTTTACATGTCACTACGTTTAATTAGGTTGACTTGTGACATTTTTTTCGTGGTTTTTGTATTAGACCCGTCGTCCATTTATTTGTAAGTCAATGACTTTTAATGTAAGTTTTAAAATTAAATAATGGTAGTCTTAATATATGCTCCAGAATCTTGTAGTAAATATACAGTTCCCCAGGACAGGAAGAAGATTGAAATAATTTTTATTAAATGCAGTAATTTACATATTGATATTTTATTAACAGTACAGCTCCTTGTGAAAGAGTTCGACCAGGGAAGTACTGCCACCTGACCTATTTCTGCCGCCAAGCAGTAATGTGAGCATTACTGTGTTATGGTTTTGAAGGGTGCTGGTGAAATTACAGGCACATGGGACTTGTCAACTTATGTCTCAGAGGGACGGGCGCAACGGCAGTGCCCCTAAGATCTTTGTGATTCCAAATGATGCGGCGGCGGACACATCCGGTTACTGTTGGGTAATCAGACCCGGCCAAACAGAGCGCGCGAAACCAGCTCGCGAGGTTCATTGTTTTTTTAATAATACAAAGTGAAGGGAAAAACAATTCGTGCACCTGGTGGTAAGCGACATGCCTGTCCATAACAGTTGCAGTCGCAAAGATCTTAGGGTCACTGCCACTGCGCCCGTCACCCTGAGACATAAGTTGACAAGTCCCATGTGCCTAGAAACCGGAACGTTCACATTATTACTTGGCGGCAGAAATATGTAGGTAAGGTGGTTGTACTCCCCTGGACGAATTCTTTGACAAGGAGCTCTACTTTTGCAATAATACTTACGGTATGACAAATATCACAAGAAAAAGGTCCCTTCTGGTGGGTCTTTTGGTGCTTCATCAGACTAATTCGTGTCATGAAACCCTTCTTGCACACTGTACATATGTGATTTCGGAAGTGTGTGTTGTAATGTTTCTGTAAATCATGTAATAAAATCGTAAAGAAGCTGTGTTTTACTTTTATTATCAACCGACTTCAAAAAAAGGAGGAGGTTCTCTATTCGACTATGTTTTTTTTGTATGTATATTATTTGTGAACCGATTTTAACGATTCGTTTTTTGTTGGCAAGAGGGTACATCGGTAGTGGTCCCATGGCAAACTCAGGGGTTGAATCCGGTTTGGTGTACTTTCCGGTAACTGATTTCAATAAAACTTGGCAAATAGATGTAATTTCACATACTTTTGAGGTCGTTTTATTAGTACTCTATACCGAGATTATTTTGAATTAAAATTCAGTGCTAACTATAATAGAGCGATACCTCCAATGAATACTACTCCTTAATTTTTGGACCTGCTCTGTTTTTGTTTTGTTTCTTTATTTATTTTTTTTCGAAATTTTGTTTGTTGTTTCTTTATATTTTTTTCAAAAAATTCGGGTAGCTTAATATTAGTAAATAAAAGTGTTTACTAAAAATAATAGAAAATGACTAAAAAATAAAGTTGGCATAGTGTTCATTGGAGATATCGAGACAGAAAAATGACACAAAAAAAATGCCGTGGTAGCCTAATTGTTTTTTGACCTACTACCTCTCAGCAGAGTTAAGTTTTTCGGAAATCGAAATATGAAATTTATCACGAGCTTTTCGGTGACAGAAAACATCGCGAGGAAACCTGCACGTCACAGAAGGTTCACAACCCTCGGAAAGCGTGTGAAGTCCCCAACTAGCAGTGGACCAGTGTGGCGGACTATGGCCTAATCCCCCGTTTGAAAGTAGGCCCATGCCCACTCCTGTGGGGCGTAAAAGGGATGACGACGATGATTGAAGACACTAAATCTAAAACTTTGTTTTTTATAATAACTAGATATGAAAAGGATATCCGGTAACCATCTGGTATCCGGCCGCATATATAGTAAAAATAGGCCGGATAGTACAATACCCGGCCGGATGTTTCGAAAAACTGAGAAAAATTCATTATCAGTACGCCAAATAAGTTGATTTATAAATTAAAGATCTGCTTATTACTATAACTGAAAGAACTATGAAGTTAGAGATAACATTATCTGTAAATTTAGTATATTCAAATTTCAATAGAGACAAATTACTGGATGTGGATGAAAACCAGTTTTTCTGCATTAAGTGGTAAAAGTTGGTGATATTTATTTTCATAAATAGATCCAACTTTGCGCTTTTTTTTACTGTTAACATTTTTCTGTTATGTAATGGTTTGTATTGTCGAATAAATTTATCGTTTTTATAAAAACCAAGTGACTTCAACAAATCAAATCGTCAATGTGAAAGTGCAATCATTCACTAATCAATCAGTCACGGTGATGCGCGCTGTAAACCGGTTACAACATGTTTACGACAGTGGGTTTGATATCCGGTTATCCGGTCTTCGTGCTCGCCGGATATCCGGTATCCGGCAAAATCACTATCCGTTTCATCTCTAATAATCACTACGTAAACAATTTTCAATAACTTTTTTATAAAAAAAGCGATTTATCGGCGATTGCTTCGATGCAAACGCGCGATTGCATCGATACAAATGCGCGATTGCATCGATACAAACGCCTATGTAACATCGCGCGCGCGCGTTTGTAAAGGTAGACGATTAGCGACTGTATCGCGTTTGTATCGCAAAAAAATATGAAATGTTTAGAAAAAAAATTATGGAATGTTTAGAAAATAAGTACTACAAATGGAAATTTTTTGTGCATTGATGACGAATTGCTAAGAAAATGTTCATACTTTAGGTAACTTAATTCAATCAATTCCGATCACTGGTAATTACTTACCACACGCAAAATAGGCGTCTGGACGTCGAATTGCGGACCCAAGTCGGTCACATCACAGTAATTACTTTCGTTTAAAACTGTAATACCTACCTTTAATGAGAAATAATTCAAAAACTGTACACCGCACTCCCGGCAATTTCTCTCTTCACGATTTATTTCATACGGAATATTATCTTTTGGATGTGTGCGCGGTCGACCCACTGGGCGTTTGTGTTTGTTTGTCGTCTTAGGGGAAGACGGCGGGGAGGGGGCTGAAAAGAAATAATAACTGACGACTGTTCGAGTCGCTAGCATACCGGTTTATAAGTGACACTTTGTATTGCCCGTGACGGCGTTCCCGCGCTGTTTTAGAGCATGTTCACATGACGAACGTTCAACATGCGTTTCGCTGACGCGCGCTTACAACTTACCGAATTTTGTACGTAAATCGCTGTAGGTGTCCACATAACAGCGGCCGGGCCGCATTTATAATCATCATATCTTATATTATATCATCATAATCATTTGCCGTACTGCCGTTCACATGAGCGCGCGTTTTCGACGCGGTGAGACGTGTTTTGCAATTGAAACTGAATCACTACGCGCTCAATGCCCGTAAAGCGCCCGCCATGTATACACTATTCAAAAACCTAACGCGCATTGAACGCTTGTCATGTGAACACACCTGTAACTTCGAGCGAGTGATGGAGCCCTGGTCGCGTTACCCAGCTGCGGCAGTTTAAAATGATCCTCAAGTGGCATTTAAGTTGAACACGACTTATGTAATAATGCGTCAGACAACCACACCAACTATCTGTTCTTCAGACTAGAACCAATTTAGGATAGTTCTTTTTTAAAATTGGTCCTGCGGGGTATCGACTCCGGGAGCTCATTAGCCAGCACTCACATTGCGAACCGTTGAGCTACTGAGGTCGTCGTCGCATTTATACTTAGACAGTAAGTAAAGCGTTGGTAGACCAGTTGTTTCTCCATTGAAAAATCATGGTTCAAACCTCTGTGGTGGTACCAATGTAGCTTACCTTCGCATTTCTTCGAATGTAAGCCGTCACAATTGTTATTAATAATTTCTTGATTCACATTAATCTGTGATTTTGTAATAATGTCTTTCTCTGATTGCAATAATCCTAAAACTGCCACGTCTTCTTCACTTAATATTTGTGATACTGAAAAAAAAGATTAAAACACAGATGTATTAACCTTTTTAATTATTTATTTATTTTTAAATATTTTAAAATTAAATTAGTATTCAAGAAAATACACACAAGAGAGTGCACGTTTGAATGCACATTAGGGATGCTGCTCAAGTCTGCATTCGCATATTTTTAAACATTGCTTCCGCATCCAACATCTGTATCATTGATGTATAATTTCTGCAGATGAAACCCCTTCACCCAACCCCCTAACTGGCCACCTAACCCAAACCCTAACTCACCCCCTAACCCACCCCTAACGCACCCCCAACCCACCCCCTAACCCTATAATAAATTTATCATAATTGTCAGTTTTAATTGTTAATTGTTAATCAAAAACATTGCAAAGATTGAAATTGATTAATTGTTAATTGTAGACAGTGTTGGGCAAAATTTAATTGTTCTGGCAATTAAAGATTGACAATTGATTAATTGTTAATTGCGAAACGGCAATTAACGATTGATCAATTGTTAGTTGCGAGAACCGCAATTAACAATTGATTAATTGTTAATTGCGGTTCTCGCAACTAACAATTGATCAATCGTTAATCGCAAATATCTACAATTAACAATTAATCAATTTTCAATCTTTTCAATGTTTTTGATTAACAATTAACAATTAAAACTGACAATTATGATAAATTTATAGGGCATATGAGGGTCAGTTAGTCCCGGTTGGGGGCCCCGGTTGGGATCCCCGGTTGGGGGCCCGGTTAGGGGGCCGGTTGGGGCCCGGTTGGAAGCCCCAGTTGGGGGCCCCGGTTGGGGGCCCGGTTGGGGGGCCGGTTGGTGGCCCTGTTGGGGGCCCCGGTTGGAGGCCCGTTTGGGGGCCCCGGTTGGGGGGCTCGGTTAGAGGCCCCGGTTGGGGCCCCCGGTTAGGGCCCCAGTTGGGGGCCCGGTTGGGGACCCGGTTGGGGGGCCCGGTTGGGAGCAGGTTGGGAGCCGCGTTGGGGGCCCGTTTGTGGGGCTCGGTTGGGGGCGCCCGGTTGGGGCCCCGGTTTGCGGGCCCCGGTTTGGGGACCCCGGTTTGGGGGCCCCGGTTTAGGGCCCGGGCCCCGACCGGGGCCCCAGCCGGGGTCCCCAAGCGGGGTTCCCAACCGGGGCCCCCAACCGACCGGAATTGATTTTAATTGCAAATTTAATTGCAAGTAAAATCAATTCAATTGAAATCAATTGCAATTAAAATCAATCGCAATTAAATCAATTGCGACGCGTCGCAATTGATTTAATTGCAATTGATTTCAATTGAATTGATTTTTTAATCTGATTGAATTATTGATTGAAATTTAATTGATTAACGCCCAACACTGATTGTAGATATACACGATTAACAATTGATCAATCTTTAATTACTGTTTCGCAATTGACAATTAATTAATTGTCAATCTTTAATTGCCAGAACAATTAAATTTTGCCCAACACTGGTTTGTCCAGACAGTATTTAATTGCCAATAAAATTTATCTATAACCATGGCACCTGTAATGAGCCCGAAACATATAGGTTTGTTTGAAAGATGCAATTATAGATCCAAATGTCAATACTTACAGTCAATTGATAAAATCACGGATATGCTTCTAAGGATTTGTTTCTTAAAAGTCACACATTGTTTGAGGCTGGCTACACAGACTGCACATATTGAATCATGGCCATCTTGTGGAGATAGCTGAAAAAATAAAGATGACTGGTTAGGTACCTTTTTTTTACAAAATAAAATAACAAACAAGTCACGGGTCTGCTGGTAAGCGACACGCCTGTTCATAACAATTGCCGTGTCAACCGGGGGCACTGCCACTGCGCCTGTCACCCAGAGACATAAGTTGACATGTCCCTATGTGATTGTGATTTCATCAGCACCCTTCAAAACCGGAATGCAGTAATGCCCATATTACTTTACTGCGGCGGCAGAAATAGGTAAGGTGGCAGTATTTCCCTGGACTAATTGTGTCATACACATCCCAGAAGGAGAAAAGTAACTATAACTACAAGGATGTATATTACATTTGTATTTGTTTCGGCCCATAACCAAGATGGTTGATAGGGCCACGGGAAGGTAGGTTTGTCCTGGGACGGAGTAGACAAAGACTATGTAACTCGAGATACGCAGACAGTGTAGATTCTGACATGAGAAAAAACAAAACTCTTTTGCATTTCTTTATCCAACTCGACCGCTTGAGTATGAAGGTAATGTTGCTGGTGAAATTACAGGCATGAGATTGAATTATCACGGCTGACTTACTACCTGGAACCTGGGGGTCTACTCTCGATCTCCGTCCGAAACAATTACTGTCAAATAAGCAATACTTGACCAAATGAAAAGACGTGATGCGAATGAAGCTTCATACTTGACACTTTTAATTTTGTCGAATTATTACTTATTTGACAGTAGGTGTTTTGGACGGATGTCGGACGGAGCGAGTGTAGACTCCCTATAACGAGCTCGATACGTAGGTACGTTTGAAAAAAAAAATGTATAGGCGACATAGATCCGAAAAAATAGTTTCATTTGCACTCACAAAAACCTAAAAGCTCCATTTACTCAATTTATTAATAATTTACCTGAACATTCAAACAGGAATTCAAAATTTTGGCGTAATTTTCTTCAAAATTGTTCACTTTTCTAACTTCAAACAAACCAAGTAAATCGTCAGTGGACATGCAACAGACGCATAAAGAACCTTCGTACATTATGAAATGTTCAATACGTAATACTCAAAGTAAATTGCATCTCAAAATCCACTGTGAATGTGTAACATTACAGAATAAACAACAGCGACAATGGGGAAACTTTGAAATGTAATTTTTTTTAATTTATTGGCTTTGGCAGCATACTGCCAAAAACACAACCACTATCTCATGGCTCCACTTAATTTTAAATAAATCTAATTAATTGTCCTGCAATTTTGCGAGAATTTAAGATAGACGTGGCGTTTCGCAGTACAAAAATATTGCGTCGTATCGTTGTTCCACCTAAACATTAGAGTTCACTTAGGGTCTTCTTAGAGTTATAATAATTTGCAAAAAAAAACCCTTAGGGGCACTGACTTACATAAAAGTCAATGCTTAGGGGATAGAAAAGACACCGCACCATTTTGACGTTAAAAAAAGATTACGTTCAGTTTTCAAAAATAAAAACACGGAAGCATTAAATAGTGGCTAAGGTTAGAGGTTCTGTATAATTTATGATGAATGTCAAAGCGGCATGAGCCATGTTTATAAAGGTCAATGTAAAAGGCTGCCAAAGGTGCTCCTCAAAGCCGTCCTATAGAGAGGGCATCGCATGGTTTAAAAGTGATACATAACCCATTTACCTGATGAGTTGCCAGGTCGAGGGGGAAATCGTTGTAGATACCCCTGAGCCCAGGGAGACTCAGGGGTTATGAGGGGACTCTTCCTCCAGATTGGAGGGCCCACACCCCCTAAAATACTCCCTGGTTTACCTCTCGCCGGTTGAGTCGGCGCCGTGGGATTGGTGAACATTCACCACGACGAGGTAATACATACATGGCAACTCATCGAATATATAACCAGAAATTAAGATGAAATAAGAACCTGATAAGTTGTCAGGTAATCCATGCCTATATATATGTATACATACTCGATGCCACAGGGAAAGCCGGCACTACCCTGCTTAGTAATTTCCGTCTCTTTCGGTTTTGTAATGAGAACATTAATAATAAAAACAGTTCAAATAACAAATTGTTAAGTTTTAGCAGATATTAGAGTTTCATTGTACTATTTTGACGCTTGTTTAGGTTCTGAGTAAGTCCGGTAATGTATTAGATTATGAAGCTAATATATTACTTGTATTAGCCTCCTAATAAGTGTAACGAGTGTCATTATAGCATGGTTGAGCAAATTATACTCTTTCTATGATCTGTTCTATTACACGGAATAACATTACTATTTAACAATATAAATTTTTGACTGTAATTAACAAATCACGAAGGTTGCAGCCGCAGGACTTAAAAAAACCGAAATTATTTAGAATAAGTATAATTAAAAGAAAATTACAATATCAAAATTATGCTAGATACAAAGTGAAGGCGATGACGTCCCCGCGGGCGACTCCGATAGTGGTCACGCGGCGGCAGCTTGCACGTTCCGCGGAGTCGGCGGCGTTGACGGTGCTCAAGTTCCGCAGCGTTGGCATTACCCCATGTTGCACTGTTTAGTTAATACCTAGTTGCTAAGCGATGTCAGCGATCTTCATGTATCCAGTATGTGTAATTATCATGTAATTTATTAATACAAAATACATATACAATAAAAAAAACAATTGTTACAATGTTACACTCATACATAAGTATTAATTCATTCAAATCAGGAAAAATTATTTTTTGTCCCAAATGTAGCCAGTAATTTTAAATTTGTCACGGTAAATAGAATCAAAAATCTTCTTCCCGGGTTGCGAGCCACCGGCTCCAGCGGTTACTATCAAGGGCATTAAATGATCTGCTTCTCCTAATGGATGACATTCCAAGGCTTCCGGTTGGTTCTGCCATTCCAAAATTTTCTTACGATTTTCAAGATCACCAGTGCACACTTCATTCAAGAAATTATCGAAATTCTGATTGACAATACCATCAACATCTTCGGCAGAATTGAATTTTCTGAACTCTTTCATGTTGTGATAAGACAAACCGGATCCAAAAATCGCTACTCCCTCTTTACGGAATTGATACAGCACTTCTCCGATTTTATAATGTTGCTCTGCGTCTTGATTTTTAAGAATGGAAAGTTGAATTATAGGAATATCTGCACTTGGGTTAATTAACATCATCGGAATAAAAACTCCATGGTCCCAACCTCTTTCGGTGTCCAACTTCGATGATATATTAGCTTTTTCGAACGCATCCCTAATTTTTCCAGCCAAAATGGGGTCACCGGGAGCATTGTATTTATACGTGTAACTTACTGGCGGGTAATTGCTGTAATCGTATAATAAATCATGATGTTCACCAGCAGAAATCGTCACAACATCTTCTTCACGGTGAGCGGTGACCAGAATTATAGCTTTTAAATGTTTCAAATCAACAATTCGAGAAACATTTTTAAGAGATTGCGCGATTTCGAGATTATGCTTTTCACCCAAAACAGGAAGTGGTCCGCCGCCATGATTTAAAAATATAGATGGCGCAAAATAATTTTGACTAACACTCATCTCTACAGTTAGAGTTATTACACTACTGATAGTATCACTAAATTGTTAAACTACAGAAAATTACGACACTGTTGACTTAAGCGATATCAAAGTGTAAATAACTAAGTACGTTAGAACAAACTTTATGAAGTGTATTGAGGAAGAAGTATATAGGTATCAATTAATGGGGTTATAGATTTTACTGATAAAGCAGATTCCCGTCTGTATTTCGGGGTCGTGTTCGTATGATACACTCAGGGCTGGGCAAAATACATGCTACGTCTTAATTGAAATACAAATTACAAAATACTTCCTTATATGTATTTAAAATACGAAATACCAAATACTTTCTTGGGGTGTATTTGAAATACAAAATACAAAATACTTTCATGGGTTGTATTTAAAATACAAAATACAAATACAAATTACAAAATACTTTTTTAATATACCTGTCCTGTCGCGACACTCGGAAACCAACAATTTCCTTCAATGTTTTTTCCTTCCACAATACATATCTTGAAAAAGAAGTTTTAAATTATTATTTTTACAGAAATACAATTAACAATGATTACAGGTGTAAAGAAATAAACAATATATACACTATTTATATTATGTAGAAACAATAAAAATCTGTATAAGTTTTCTACAAACGTCAGTCTGTCTCTTCATCAAAAACTAATATGTTTCAACAATCGTCAATTTGTCCCATCATCGCACTGATTCTTCCAACCATATATTGGCGGAACGGTTGCATAAAACGACGTAGCTAATTCACACGTAGTAGAAGAAGACGGAGTAGGAGAAGACTCGTTAATCTGTGATTATATATATTTTTCTTGTTTCCGTTTCGTTTAATTCGCGTCTCTGGAGTTTTGTTAATAAAATTGTGTTTTTGTTATAGTTATCACTGATTTTGGCTATAGGACTTTACTTTGACATAAGGATCTTCTATTGTATACGATACGATTTAGCGATTTTCTTAATCGATTAATTTCAATGGGATTTTTAAGCGTATTGGTTTAAAGTTAAGGCGAATCGAATCGTCTAAAACCTATTCATAATTTAACAAAAATCTTACTTAAAATTATTTCGTCAAGTATATACAGAAACAGAAAATAAACAGAAGGACGAACCTTTGGACAATAAGTTATGTGACATTATTAATGAATAGTTTAGTTAGGTGTAAAGGATTGGTATCTGTAAAAGCAAAAAAATATTTACATATTATTATATCATGTAATAAAGGAGTTTTTATTTACTACAAATTTTGAAACGATTTTTATGAAATCGATTCAAGAGCATACGATACGATCCGAAGATCCATTCAGAGGCGAAATTATGATATATTACGATCCAAAAAATCGATTCAAAGCAAATAATCGTGCATCCTTCCTCAACTGCTTATCGGTTTCTGATAGAATTTTTTATTATTATTTATATTATTAAAATTTTATATTTCTGACCTATTGAACGTTCACCTTTTTTTTTTAAACAGTCATTTGGGTTGGCAAAGGTTCCACCATACAGCCTCTTCATAAATTTTTCTTTATTGTGACAGCTGTCAAAGCATGTTTCGTCGAACGCTGTGTTGTTTATTTTTATAATAATAATATGTACTTTTTATTATTTTTTTTGGCGAAATCATCGTTTGTCTCGATGGAGCCATAGCATTTAAAAGAAGAAGAAGAATAATAATGTTGAAGAATTACATTTTTCGGCATATTAATGTGGAATCGTAAAGCATCGTGCGAATTTTTGGAATGTTCAGAACATAGGGATGCCAATCTAGTTCTAGTCCTCCGATGATGGAAAGAGGAAGACGGTATTTAAATCGTGCAATTGCATCTATTCATTTTCTCCAAAAGGCCATCAGTCGGTTGCCTACCTACGCTTCTGTACACTACTCTGGGTCTCCACTCAAGCACCCTTCTACCCCATCTGTGGTATTTACAGCATATGCTCATTTCCACTTTCAACTGACTAACCGCCTTGGCTATATCCATAAGTTTTGTCCTTGTTCGGATCTCTGTATCACTGAATTGATCTCGGAGAGACATATATTATAGCTTGTTCGTAGCTCTCTGGGCTATTTGTAGCCTTTGCTCTCTGTCTTTCTTGTCATTCTCCATGATTAAGCTCCGTAGACCGGGCGAGGACACATTGCTAGAATGTCTGACGTTTCAAGGTTTATGGGTATATTGGTACCCTTAACCACTTTAGACAATTTACCAAAGGCATCCAGTAGCAGTAGAGCTCCTTGTGAAAGAGTTCGTCCAGGGTAGTACTGCCACCTTACCTATTTCTGCCGCCAAGCAATAATGTCAGCATTACTGTGTTCCGGTTTTGGAAGGTAAGGGTACTGGTGAAATTAGAGGCACATGGGACTTGTCAACTTTTGTCTCAGGGTGACGGGCGCAGTGGTAGTGCCCCTCAGATCTTTGCAATTTAGAGCTCTGAGTGGCACTGTAACTGTTATGGACAGGCGTGTAGCTTACCATCAGGCGCACGTCTTGTCCGTCCCGTTACTTGATGTTATAAAAAAACATTCTTAGCTAGACGAATTATTATTTTTATTATATCACGTAACAGGCAGAAACAAGTCGTGCGCTTGGCGGTAAGCGACACGCCTGTACATAGCAGTAGCAGTTTTAAATCGCAAAGATCTGAGGGGCACTGCCACTGAGCCCGTCACCGATCACCGACATAAGTTGCAATTGCCAAATACCTTCGCCTTCCCCTTTCATCACCGGGGGACTAGGCGTAGGCTTGGGTTCTCCTCCTATGTTGTGGATATTCCAAAGATTCGTATGAAGCGTTACGCTTCCGCATTTGTATGGTAAACGGCTATGGAGTCGAATTCCTTGTCTGAAGACTTGTTCCCTGCACGTTATAACTTGGACCTTTTCAATGCGAGAGTGAATAGGCATTATTTAGGTGTGCATGCTCCATCGTTGACCTCATCGTCACTTTCCATCAGGTGAGATAAAGGTCAAATGTGCACTTTTATATATAAAAAAAAACTATGTTCTTTATTTAGTTCTGAATCGGACAAAGTATAGTTTTTAGTACTTTTCTAATAATTTATATACTTTTTTAGCATTTAAAAAATCTTTACTTTGGGCTTGAATAAACATAGTATGGCATGAAAGGCCCATATAGTAAATCCACAGACATATATCTAGATAGACGCCGCAAGTCCAGCAATTTGTATGAAAACCAAGCGTGTCACATTTTTTGTACCCACTATGACGTCACAAGAACTAATTAGTATGGAAACCTCTTTCCGCTCGCTCTAAATCGATTGATTGAACGGAATACTCGTAAACACGCGTATTCCATTCAATTAATCGATTCTAAATAGAATAATCTTTGTTCGAAAGTATTTGTTGATTACAAGTAGTCATAATTAACATAGTAGAAAAATACTAGAATAAGATAGTTAAGTCCTTTATTTTACTTGTTTTAAACTTTAATTTTTAATCGACTTCAAATATTAAAATTATTGTCCTTGCAATAAAATGAGCTTATTATATAATGTCTTTATATATCTTAATAGATGATCTTATTGATTAACTTAAATAATGAAAACGCACGTCAATACATATATTATGAACTTGCGACTGCCTTAATTAATTTTACTAGATGGTTTTCTGTTAGAAATTGATCAAATTGATGAATGGCAAGGCAAACGAAAATGTTACTGCTGACAAAATATGGTAAAAATCTTATTAATCAAAAAAGGTTTATTTAATGACGGCTTCGTGTAAAATTTTTGTGGAATGTTTATTATTTCTCGGATTTATAACTATGCTACTCTGCATATTTGGATAGCATCTGAGGTAAGATAAACTAGACCACCTTCGTCCTCGAAAGCAACCAACTCATACGTATGATCAACTCCAGGTTTTTGTAAAGACAGCGCACCGTTAATTCTTTGCATTATATATATTTTTGTATTACTCGTACTACATATCCGGCGATGTATGTAATTATTTGCTCACTATATTCGGACCTTTGAGGCAACGTAATCGAAAAAAAGCTGCAAAAATAATCGAAATTACAGATACTACTGATAATAGATACTACAAAACTGAAAAAAAAAAACGAAACGTTATCACAAAAGAATTATAGAATATTTTTATAATATTGCTAAGGTCCTAATAGGTTTCGTTCCTTTGTTTTCAAAATCGATCAGAATCGAGAACAGTATTGCCTAACGTACACATCACTAAATGTTGAATTTGGTCAAAGAAATTAACAAACGGCCGTACCAAGAAACTGAATGCATTATACAAAAGTGCGTTCGTTCGATATTCATGGCGTATTAACAAAGGAACACAAATATATCGCACCAAGTAAAAGCCGCAATGTATTACAAATTATGAGGCATACACTCGGTTGCATATTTGTTTTCTCGAAATTCATACAAAACCAAAATAATTCTTTTTAAAATAAATTATGCATCTTCTGATTACAAAATCACTTGCCCGTGGAAGGAAACGCCACCGTTTACCCGTTTACCCTCAGTTATGGTGCTTTTGCAGTTTATAATGGCACAATTATGCATTTTTCGCGTTTTCGACTGGTGTTTATCTACGATAACGGTCGAGCGCATTCTGAAGTGTAGCAGCAGCAAGTAGGTGAATTTCACTTATTTTGGGCACGCGAAGTACGTACACTTCCGGCGTCTATCTAGATATATGTCTGTGAGTAAATCAGTTATTTGTCGTAATTATAGGTATGCCTCATCAATTACAAAATTATTAAATTACTAAACTCTACATATAACTCAATCCTACAAAACTGAACAGGGACTAAGACAATCAGTATTTAATACAAAATTCTCGAACCCTCGGGCATAACAAAATTATCGTAAAATTCGTTGCTGTCAACCAAAATTACAACTTTTTTAAAGTTTTAAGTAAAATATTAGAGTAATCAACCCTTCTGTCATTTTAGATAATATTGTATCATTTCAGAAATACTTACTTTGGGCCTTATTACACTGCTACGGGTAACAAGGTACGGCTACGAGTAATAAAGTTCCCTAATAAATTAGCGGATATAAAAATTTACATTGCTCGTTTTTTTCGTGATAAAGACATTGTGGTCGAATAAAGACAACAAAAAGAGTTGAAATAGAAAAAATTTTGTCATCCTTCCTCAAAGTGTCAATGTAGATTGGGTAAGTAGTCTACCTAAACTGAATAAATTATGCACCTTAAGAACTTTG